TTTAGAGAAAAATTGGGAAATTTTGTGTTTTGAGGGTAAGAAGTGAGAAAAACCAATTTTTACCCCATAAAACCCCCCATAAAACCCTGTTCCCATAGTCCGATCATGCTGGATCGCGAACTCATTCAAGTTTATCCCGCCTTACACCTTCAAACCAAATTTCATCAAAATCGGATAAAAATTACTCAAGTTATCGTGTTCACGGACACATATATATATAAATTTATATATATATATATATATATATATATATATACATATATAAAAATTTGAACGAATGGTGTTTTTGGCCTCTGGGGACATTAAAATGAAAAAGTAAATCGGTCCCGGGCCTAAGTCTTACCATGAGACCTACGGTAATAGCTACTTCCCTATAGGGAAATTCGCTAAAACATAGTAAAATATAATTTAAGCTTCCACCATGTTCCATATTTAGATTTGTTTGGACTCAGCTGCCAACAGCTATCGCCAATCCATAGAGGAGGGTTTGATTCCAAAACTGTCCTTATTAAATGTTCTATCAATATTTTCCAACAGGATATAGTATTTACAGGGCCGTATTTGGAATTTTTAAAGCCCCTCTATATTCTGGCTCTTTGAAGATTGGAACTGAAGAGTTTAAAAATACACGTGGTAATTATTCAACTCGATGAATTTTCTTTTTGTTTCCAACAATCCTATCGGTAATAAGACATAGGAGTCTAGCTAATAAAGAGTCTATTAATTTGTAAATAATAATATTAGGGGCTTAGGTCGGGGCCAGACATTTGAATTTCTTTTGGGTTGAATAAAAAGTTTGGACCCAGAGGCATCGGATAAAAATTAGGTACCGTAGGTAGTTTTGGAATAATTTGGAATAAGTTTGTGCAGAATCTGTAATCACAACCAAATTGCAAGCGTCTTCTGCGGTCACAGTAAAATCTTGAACATCCGCCGTGATCACGGAGGAATTGTGAAGATCTCTACGTTCACGGTAAAATAGTGAACATCATGCGCGATCATGGATATTTTACACAACGTTGTGATATTTAGACTTCGTGCAATACTCCCGAAACCGTGCATACACCATCTTCGTCTTCTGCAATCGCAGTAAAATAATCAATGTCCAATGTCTTCTTAAACACAGTGAACATATTGCGCGATCCTGGAGACATCATCTTCGTCTTCTGCGATCACATCGAAATCATGAATATCTCCTATGGAGATGTTAACATCTTTTGCGAGTGGGGAAACATCATCTTCAACTCCTCCTATCGCGGTGAAATCCTTAACCACTTCTATGACCGAGGAGAAATGGTTAATATCTTGCGCAAGGGCAGAGACATCATCTGCATCTCCTTTGATCATGAAGAAATTGTGATGATCTTTCTAGTTTGCGGGGTCACGATAAAATCATGGACATACTCCTGTGATAGCGGATGAATAAAGACGTCTCCTACATAATTGGCATAATAGGTAAGATTGTTTGCTGTCGCGCAGATTTTATCAACATCTCCTGCTATAAATTTATTTAAAAATACATATTCGGGGCCCACAGTGAGGCCCCTTCCATGGACGAGGCCCTGGAAACCGCCGTGTCTGCCATTAGGGAAATACGGCCCTGAGTATTTATGTAATTTGGCGTTTTGCTGCACCACTGACAAGATTCTTCTTGAACGTAATATGGGAAACGGATCAGCTCAATATAGCAAGAACCTTAAAAAAAATTAAGAGACCTTTTAAAGTGGCTCTGTCTTTAACAACTATTAATTTCTTTGATTTAAATAGTAAATCATTTGTAAGATAATTACCTTAAGGTACGAAACTGTATGAAACAAGGAGCCTGACGTGGGGCAGAATTTACAGCTGAGTTAAATCCCATGCTACGCTTTTGGTACGATTGGCAGACAGCAGCACACCATGGTGATATTCCTGCAACAAGGCACATCAAGGGGTTAAAAGGATTAAAGGATTAACACAATTATTATGATTAAATATATGTGTTTCTTGTAAAGTCAACAATGTCTAGAATATAATTTATCTTCGATATATAAAGAATTTACTGATTATTCTGGACAAACGCCAGTACTCTGTTAGGTCATTTAAATCTATCATGAGATCTATTTTATTAGTTAGTTTATTTTCCAAATTATACATCGGTTTATTAACATACTATTGCATGTTTACTGTTTAGTAACGCTGATCTGTAAATCCATTGTGCATCTTCATAGACTAAAATAATTAAATATAAACTCTCAGCCGAGCTGCAGTTACCATAGGTTATGGCACACGCCACTGGGAGCGCTGTGTAGTTACGTAGCATGTACGTCGTAAAGTAAATCCATTGAGTATCATATTCTTATCAATTTAAACATTTAGTTATAAGATATGTAAAAAATTACCTGCAAATGATAAAAAAGACAGCTGATGTTAACATCTTCTTGAAGCGGGAAGTTCATACTTGGAAGTAGTTGAATTACTTGCTGTGAGATTTTCTCAGGAAAGTTCACCCGCTACAATCGGAGAGATCTGAAACAGTATCAACGAACTATTAAAAGTAATCCTATCTGGACCAAAACTTACTTCTATTTACCTGTGTTGTGTGATGCAGCTTTAGTGGAATTGGTTAAAATCAACATTAGTCACTTCAAAAATTCCAAGCTCTTGAGGGAAAAATTCCAAATCCTAAAGGGACAGTTTAATAGGTGGCAGTTTTTGAGATACATTTTTTTAAATATGGTATAGCTTGACCTGAAATCTTATTCGCTGACATCCATTTTTTTCATTTAACCTGTAGTAAACTGCTGGCTTGGATACTTTAAATATTCTATGAATTGAGATGGAAAATTTCTGCTATCTACTTACACTAAGGTGTATTATTTTTTCTCTTTGTAGAGTAGATAAGATACTTACTTAGGTAGTCGAATACAGCTCTGGCGATGCCTTTATGGAAGCTAGCAGGATGAAGAGAAGAAAAGTAAGGAAATCATGACAGTGGGTTGGAATAAGGTTCAAGGATACTTTGGATAAAGAACACCCGTGGTAGGGAGGAGAGGCCCAGACACAATTATTTTACAATACAATACAATACAATATCTACAATACCTATCATAGCTATAAAACCTTTATGAGCTACTGTAATAATATCTTGATTATCTTCCTAACACTCTATCTGATAAAATAATGAACCTGAAAATCCCTATTCTGTTCTAAGCCTATGGCTAATCTAATCATGTGATGATATAGTAAAACTTGATTTAACACTATATACTTAAAAAAACCTAAACATTTCCTAACTGTTATAAAGCCCTATGACTAACCTATTCATGAAAAAATATAGTAAAATTTTACCTAACACTATCTAATAAATAAACCTGAAAATCCCTAATCTGTTCTAAAAGCCTATGGCTAATCAATTCATGAGAAAATTAAGTAAATTTTCGCCTAACACTGTAAAATAAAAAAAACCTGAAATCCCTGATTTAATCAAAATTTTAATAAAATTAATTTAGTTATCCGTGATAACTCTAACCATCCCTAACCTCTTTGTATTAACCTAAAACTAAACGACGGGGATTTCTTCAGTGAAGCGAAGACTCAATCCGATGAATGATGGTAGAACAATGCACACAAAAGGAAAGTTCCTACCTTTGGTATGACAGCAACTCAACACCTGCAAATAGCGAAGTCAAAGTGAGCAAACATCATCTAAAAATTAGATTTAGTGAATTTATAATTATAAAGATATTCCAATATTGCCTTTTAAATTATATCTATTTGGGATCTATTTACATATTAAACCGATATGTTGTATATTATACAGGTTGTTTTTTTTTTAAACCTGCATCTTTATTTATGTAAAAACCGCAATAAATAGAAATATGCAGTAATTTATCTCAGAAATTTATGAACCGATTTTCAATTTTTTTTCATCAAACATTTTCTTTTTTCATCCTCTTTTATTTGATATGTCACAAGGGGTACCTTGCTATTTAAAAAAATTAAGTTGGGGGCAGGGGGGAAAGGGGGGAATGTGAATGTAACGTTGAATTCAAAACAATTGGGCCCCCTAAGTCAATAGATGATTCCCGCAAACTGCATATTTCTATCTATTGTGGTTTTTACATACAGTAAATAAAGATGCAAGTTTAAAAAAAACACCCTGTATGTAATTATTGCAAATTGCATGTACACTTCAATGCAAAATGCATGAAATAAGATCCCATGAAACCAGAAGGTTGGTTTAAATTTAATGAAAGATTGTGACTTTGTTCGTAGATGAAGTCTCCATTGAACTGACATCCCAGTAAAGCAGGCTAATTCAAATAAGACCCTTGAATTTGTATTACTTGCGTTTTTTTTTTTTTTATATCTTTCATCCAATTGATTTTTATCAAACCATTTTACATATTTAGTTACAAGAAATTAAAAAAAAATACCTCTAATTCTTACAGAAGACACCTGATGTCAACATCTACGTAAAGGAAGTTCATGTGTGATCCTCTTGAAAAATTTAACGCGCACGAAAAGTGATCTAAAACAGAATCAAAGAATTATTAACATGTATCCTAACTTGACAGGCACACACTTCTAATTACTAGTGTTAAAAGACTCTACTATTTTTGGTGGTCCCACTGTTATAAGATTATTAGTCATGTATATCCTGTATTTGTTTGGTATTCAAAAACATAGTTTTGAAAATTGACAATTTCAAAATGTTCTGTGATTAGGTTTGTTTGGTCTCAGTGGTCAACAGCTATTGATATCAGTCACTGATCCATAGAGGAGGGCACGACTCTTACTTGTTTTAAACTAAATGTTCTATCCATATCGTCTAACAGGTTATAGTCTTTATGTATAGTTTGGAATTTCGCTCCACCACTGGCCGGAAGAGTTTCCTTGAATCTTATGTGGGAAACAGATCAGCTCAATATGGAAAAAATGTAAAAAATGCTTAAGACCTCTTTTACAGTGTCCATGTATGTAATAAATTTTAACATTGATTTCTTTGTTTTAATTAGGATATTCACCTTTGAGATCAAGGAGCCAGACTTGGGGTAGGATACAGCTGCATTAGCAGACGCCATCGTGATATGCCTACAACAAAGTACATTTAGAAGTTTTTAGTACATTTAGTACATTTACGATTACCCCACTTACTAATAAATGCATTTCTTGTAAAATCAACTTAAAGTTTAGAATTTTATTTTCCATATATTCATTTACTATATATTGATTCTTCTGATTTTTCTGGGCCAACACCAGTGAATGGACAGGAAATTTTAATTTGTCATGATATCCATGTTAATTGTTAGTTTTCAATACCAAATAATGTGTTGATTTATTGTTTATATACTAAAGACAATTTTCCAAAACTACAGACTAAAACAGTATCAAATAATTAGGAAAAGATACCTATCTCAAATTGACAGGCACTTGCTTTCAATCGCCTGTGTGGAACGATGCAATCTGTTTTATGTTGTAGGCAGTTAAATGTGGAGAGCGTTTTAGTGAATAGTGACTAAGAATGGGGAATTCGGTTTTCACCTAAAACCTTTTTCATTGACATCCATGGTGGTAAATCTTCTTTCACAACATTTTGAATACTATGGAAACTTAAAGCTTTGCTTTGAACGGAAAAGAAAGACATTTTTATTTAAGTAAAGTTGGTTAAATCAAGGGTGTCTTTGAACCTTGTTTGAGAAACAGATCAGCTCAATGGGGCAAGTGGGCAAGAACCTATCTACCAAATAAGCTGATGACTTATTAATTATGTAGCTTAAGAAACCTTTTACAGTGTCAATGTACCTAACAGCTGTTGATTTGTTTGTTTCTATTAGGATACGGTATCAAACGTTTGCTACTCACCTGGCACCAAAGTGCTGAAGGAGATGGACGTAGTGAAGGCTACAGTTGCGTTGATTGTCAGACACCACAGTGATATGCCTGCAACAATGCACGTCCAGAGGTTAGACAAACAGCACACTTACTTTTATACTAAAATGTTGATTATTAGTTTATCTTTATGACTGATTTGTAATATACAAATAATTTTAAATATCATTACTAAAGTACAGTACCTCTACCGCAGCAAACCTGTAGACTAAGCCAATTTCCATTTACCTAGCTAGATGTCCACTAAAATATTAACTAAAAATTACCAGATTTCAAAAATTCGGACCTTTCAAATAACCTTATTACTAATGAGCACTTAGCTTTGCTGCTACAGGGAAGGTGTGTTTTTAATTGAATCGTGGATAGTTTAGTATGAAATACAAAAATTTGCCAAATTAAATTATATTAAAATATATCCATAAACATACAAACTACAGCAGTTTACTTTATTCTCCATAACAATGAGCATGGAAATGTTGAATTTACACTTTTTTACTTTCTCCATAAGGGTAAGGAGTAAAACAATGCTTAATGCACTTTTTTTAAACTCTATAAAATGATTTAGAAATAAATTGCTGAATTGTTCATTTTTAGGGTAAAAATGGGAATAACCTATCTTAATCCCATAAAACGGCCCATAAATTCCTGTTCCCATAGTCAGATCATACTGGTTTGTAACCTTGTTTGAATAAACATGTTTAAACGATATGTTTAATTGTTTGTACCTAATTATGGAAGTATCCCATCATTTTTGGTTAAGCTATCCCACTAACAGCATATATATAGATAAATTTGAACAGATGGCGTTTTTGGCCTCTGAGGACCTCAAACCAAGAAATTAAATCAGTCCTGGGTAATGGTCTTACCATGACACCTAGGGTAAGGTTACAGCTCATTTTCTATAATGGAAAATTCCCCGAAATCAAACAAAATTACCTTAGCATATATAAGAAGAGGTAGAGCTCACATCGCCTATAGGAAGTTCTAAGATGTCAGGAAGCTGATTCAACAAATTCCCCTGGTCAGACTAGTCGCTCACTACAATTGTGAAATCTAAAACAGAGTCTAAAAAGACAGTTTTTAGTAGAGGGCAAGGTATATCAACTGAAAAAGATCCTACAAGTAATTGTTTTTGTTCCTGTACTATGTATGTTTTGTACTTTGTATTCATGCCTAGTTTTGTTGATAAATATTTGGTCTACACTCAACTAGTGTTTGCTGCAAGCTACTCTCCTGAAGGATTTGGCTCAGAAGAGTCATGGAGGAACAACGAGAGGCACTGTGTTTGTATAAACGCAAGTACCGTAGTAAAATATGATCAGTTGCATACTATGAACTTCAATTCTGTCCCTTAATGTTTTCACTTTATATATAATATTTTCTTCAATAGTTTCAAATGTAATTGAGTAATAATATATCATGGTAAACACTTGGAACTTGTGTTTACTGCAGAGTACTATCCTGAAAAATTTGGCTCAGAAGAGTTATGAATGAACAACAAGAGGTGTCCGATACCTTCTCAACTCTGAAATGATCAGACTTTAAAGACTGCAATAAATGTAGTGCTTGGAATCAGCCGGATTACAGGTCTTCGGTTCCCCCGTAACAAATCCACAAGCATGCGTGTTAACGTTTGATAGGACAGGACCCAGAAAACTTGCAAAGTGCTAAATCAAAGAACTACATGAATAACAGTCCCGTGTGTCGGCCCGTCCCAGGGAAAAGAAGGAATTGTTGACCACTAGTAGTATTTCATAACTTTTCCAGGCCAAAATACTCCAACTTATCAATTTTTCTCTACTATTGAACAAATGTGTTGCTCATCATAAACTTGTGTAGTAAAGTATGGTCAACTATATACTTTGTAAAACTGCAGCATATCCCAATCCCATGTGTCGGGCTGTTTCTAGCCCGACATTTGTTCAAACATTGTGGTAATAAAAACCAGTGCTGGTTAACCTGTATTTCTTCAGTAAAAGTGCTGAGATTCAATTCAAAGGATGATTGTCAAACACCCACCCTAAATAACAACAATGGTCCTACCTTAGTACAGACGGTAACCAAAAACCTGCAAACAGGGGAATCCAGCAGATTGCTGCTTCCTTCTCACTATCGAGTATTGAATCACCTTAGTGTTACAATGATATGGTTGATCCTCTGTTATGTTCCATAACTCATCCAGGCCGAGGTAACAACATTGATTGATCTGCAACAAACCAAGTTTTTAACTATTACATCAAAATAATTTACATACTCAAATTAATGTTGTGATTACAAAAGTAGTAATTACTTATGTAATACTACACTGTTACACTGAAAAAAACTTTTGTGAAATTCATTATTGCTATAAGTATATGGAAAAGGTGTGACCGTAATTAAAAAAATTGAGCAGGGGGCAAATACACTTTTTCCCAGTAAGATGAACTATATTTTCCATCACATGCAATATAGTTTAACAAGCTAAGTTAAAAAACAAATACATATTTTATGTAAGATCTCTCAAATTCTCAAAATAACTTCCAAAAGGTTTCCAGTACTGCTAATGCAAATAAGTAGTTGTTTAATAAGTGATTCAATAAATCTGTATATTACGGTTATGTACATTATACTGTGTATATGTCAAACTATTAACATGAATGCAACAATAAGCTATAATTTGCTGATTTTGCAAAAGTATGACAAAAAGAATACTGTATTATGTTTTAGGAAGAAGGTCTATGAAACAACCATTGATTCATTTGTTTCTATTATGTTATCAAACATAGGATATTCACCTGCGACTTAAGTGTTGGAGGAGGTTGACATAGTGCAGGCTACAGTTGCATTACTTCCCTCGATAAACTTTTGCTACGATTGACTGTCACCTCAGTGATATGACTGCAACAAGGAATGTCAAAATGTTAGACGTACAACATACTTACTATTAAATAATTATACTACTATTAATGCTATTACTTCAATTCAAATGGCTCTGTCGTTGGTATGTACATATAAATAAATAAATAAATTCTTTGATATCAAACCAAACAAGTCTAGAGTGTCCTTTCTCTTGTTGTTGAAAAAAAGTATAAAAACATTTTTGCAATATTGAAGACAATTTTGTTAAAAATTACTATAATATTGCTTAATTGTTCATCATAACTAAACATTGATATTATATTTTATTTAATTATTTAAAAAATCAAACAAAATTACCTTAGCACTTATTGCAAGAGGTGGAGCTTATGTGATCTTCGTGTAGAAAGTTCCAAGATATCAGAAAGAACTATACGAATTTCCATTGATAGATAAGTCGCTCAATACAATTTGAAAATCTAAAACAAAGTCTAAAAAGACAAGATTTAGAAGAGGACAAGAGTTATATTAATTACACTATAACCTATAAGAGTAATTATTTTGTTCCTTTATTCATACTGTATTTAGTTTTGTTGGATAACTTTTTGTCTCTACTCTACTAGTGTTTGCTGTAGATTTCTCTACTAAAAATTTGGCTCAGAAGATATGAGTTCCAAAATTTTTCTTTCACTATGATTTCACATTTTTTGTGATTTTTTCCAGACTATTTCCATATGTAATAGAGTAGTAATATAAAATGGTAATACTTGGAACTTGTGTTTGCTAGAGATTCATCACCTGAAAATTTGGCTGAGAAGAGTTATGAAGGAACAACAAGAGGTGTACGATACCTTCTGAACTCTGAGATGAACTGATTTTAGAGTCTGAAATAAATGTAGTGCTAGGAGTCTGCAAGATTACAGGTCATCGGTTCCCCTCGTAACAAATCCACAAGCATGCACGTTAAAGTTTGATAGGACAGGACCCAGAAAACTTGCAAACTGCAGAATCATAGAACTGCATAAATAACAGTCCCGTGTATCGGTCCGTTCCAGGGTAGACAAGGCTATAAATGCAAGCTATAAATACGCCAAGCAATAACAGGCAAGCAATATATACATGCAAAAAAAAACAGGCAATATATACATGCAAAATATAACAAGCAATATATACATGCAATAAATGGACACAAACACACGGTGCTCAAGACCTTCTGAACTCTGAGATGAACTGACTTTAGAGTCTGAAATAAATGTAGTGCTACGAGTCCACAAGATTACAGGTCATCGGTTTCCCTCGTAACAAATCCACAAGCATGCACGTTAAAGTTTGATAGGACAGGACCCAGAAAACTTGCAAACTGCAGAATCATAGAACTGCATAAATAACAGTCCCGTGTATCGGTCCGTTCCAGGGTAGACAAGGCTATAAATGCAAGCTATAAATACGGCAAGCTACAGGCAAGCAATATGTACATGCAAAAAAAAATAGGCAATAACATGCAATAAATAAATACAGACAATAATACAGGACACAAACACACGGTGCTCAAGACCTTCTGAACTCTGGGATGAACTGACTTTAGAGTCTGAAATAAATGTAGTGCTACGAGTCCACAAGATTACAGGTCATCGGTTCCCCTCGTAACAAATCCACAAGCATGCACGTTAAAGTTTGATAGGACAGGACCCAGAAAACTTGCAAACTGCAGAATCATAGAACTGCATGAATAACAGTCCCGTGTATCGGTCCGTTCCAGGGTAGACAAGGCTATAAATGCAAGCTATAAATACGGCAAGCTACAGGCAAGCAATATGTACATGCAAAAAAAAACAGGCAATAACATGCAATAAATAAATACAGACAATAATACAGGACACAAACACACGGTGCTCAAGACCTTCTGAACTCTGGGATGAACTGACTTTAGAGTCTGAAATAAATGTAGTGCTACGAGTCCTCAAGATTACAGGTCATCGGTTCCCCTCGTAACAAATCCACACGCATGCACGTTAATGTTTGATAGGACAGGACCCAGAAAACTTGCAAACTGCAGAATCATAGAACTGCATAAATCACAGTCCCGTGTATCGGTCCGTTCCAGGGTAAATAAGGAATTGTTGACTACTTGTCGTATTTCATAACCTTTCCAGGCCAAAGTACCCCTTGATTTCTTCGTAGTTCATATCACCACTATATGTGTTTTCAACTTTGATAACTGCTATTGCAATTCTTTTTAGCCATT